ATAGACAACAGGAAAAAAATAGTACTACTGTTAGCCAACATCTATAAGCAAAGTAGTCTGAAACACACTAAAAGTGTAGTAGCCTTCAAAGGTTGCCCTAACAAGAGAACACATTAATTCAATCAAGCTATGAAATTTAAGAATGACTTGGCGTAGCCAGGCATGGTGGCTCTCGTCTGTAATCCCAGCACTTTGGGAGGCTGAGGCAGATGGATCACCTGAGATCAGGAGTTCAAGACCAGCCCGACAAACATGGTGAAACCCTGTCTCTACTAAAAATACAAAAATTAGCCAGGCATGGTGGTATGTGCCTGTAATCCCAGCTACTCGGGAGGCTGAGGCAGGAGAATCACTTGAACCTGGAGGGGCAGAGGCTGCAGTGAGCTGAGATAGCGCCATTGCACTCCAGCCTGGGCGACAGAATGAGACTCCATCTCAAAAAAAAAATGACCTGTGTAATGTAATTGGAAGGAAAATGAATTAGACCCTAAAAAATACCGAAACAGTGGCACATAAAGCAATTACCCAAGGTTATGATCTTATAAAGGAAAGAAAAAAGCTCTTCAGAGAAACCATGAACAATAGCAGGAATAATAAAACATAGGTGAGAGCTGTTCATTCACGGCCAAAATTTACACAAGATGCTTAAATACACACACACACACAGAAACTTTATAAAATAACTATAAATACCTGATCACAGAGAGACTGCAAAATGGATGTGACATATTCAACACACTGTTGGCGAATAACACTGTCTCCAGGAGACCGCACCAAAGCTAAAAGATCCTGGAATATCTCTGCGTATCTTTCATCACCTTTAATAGTTCCATTAATTAGATGCAAAATAGCTAATTTACAAGCTTTGTTTGAAGCCAGAGCATCAAGAAGAGCAAGCAACCTGGTGGTTTGGCTAGTATACTGTTTTTCTTTATCTTCTGAAGTGCTGAAATAAAATCAATACATTTAGTAAACAAAGTTCTTGATCTTAAGGCATTGTTTAACTAATATTTATTTCTCAATACACATCAACTTACACAAATTTTGCATAAAACATTTAATTCCTTGGGTATAATGACAAATTCTCTGGAATTTTACAATGACTGCAAAAATTTTATAAATTCAGGTTTCCAATAATATATTTTCTTAAATCAGAATACTTCTTTAGGATTTACCATTTGAAAACCCCAAATCAAGACCTTCAAGATATCGTCCACATGAAATGATGAAATAAAGCTTTCTCATTTTAGAAGTCTGTTAACTATTCATATATACATATGTGTGCATATGTAGGTATATGTGTATATTTACATGTATATATGTTATCTGGGCATTACAAACCCTAGTTTCCAAATTGTAAGGGAAAAAATACATGTGTCAAAAATAACTTGAGGAAAAAATTTTTAATGCAAAATGAAAATACCTTTGCAAGTCTTCTACAATCAAATCCAACACAGTTCTCATAATCAGAAGTGCAGTTGGTGAGGCAAGGTCACACAATTGAACACAAATACGCCGTAACATATGTTGAATGGGCTGGCAGGTTGTGCCAGAGAAAGAGCGAACTATTTCTTGGAGCAACTTTGCTTGAACATGAAGGTGCATGCTCCACAATTTTCGGGTGTTGAGTGCCACTGATATATCATGTGGCTCAATAACCTGTTAAAAAAGTATAATGTGTGTGTACGTAGATTTTTTAATATTTATTTATAGTCACAAAAACTGTTCAGGAAGAAATGTTATGAAAAGAACATTTTTACTGCATGCTTAAAACATTTAATTTTCTATTATACAGTTAAACATTTGCTTGAATTCAATGAGTCTAAAAAATCTTATTGTTCTCAGGTTAGCAGTTAGTTTTGAGTAGAGTCCATTGGTGAAGCAACCAAGTTATTGGCAAATTCTAACACATGGTAAGGAGGGGGAAAAGGATGTAAAATAACAGAAATATGTAAGTACAAACATACATAACAGCATAATAAAACTCACTTTAACAAAAATTTATTTAAAATGTTACCCCCATATTTCCTCAATGACCAACTTGTTGCAGTTTTATCTCCCCCTCATCCGGTTATTTTATGTCTTTTTGGGAGGAAGGGAGATGAGGGTTTTTGTTTTTTAACAAAATCACTGGCTTTTTAAAAAGTGTTACTGCAGTCATTTATAAGATGCATGTTATATGGAAGTGATACCTGAGTTGTTTGCATGGGCAATGGAAGAGGCAGCAGCTCTGAAAGGAGTATGAGTCCAGAAAAAAATCCTTCAGGAACCTTCAAGATTGAAGAAAGAACTTCTTTTAACATTAAAGACCAAGTATTATTGGCCAGAGTCTCTTCTGAGATTGTGAGTTTTTCATTAACTCCTTGTGTAAAAGTCAGTAAAATATCAATGATATCATTCTGAATTTTCTGTTCATCACTATCCAAACGACCTGAGAGGGGGATAGAGCACAGGAGCATATGTAAAGTAACAAGCGCTGAAGGAACACGCATGTCCTTAAACTCAAAGGATCCACCTCTCAGGAGTTCTGTTAACATAGTTTTAAGAAGAGTGAGTGTGCAGCGAGCCATTGAAATAGTAGTAACTCTGTGAAGGGTAGTCCCCATGTTGACATGGAGCCTCCAAGGCTGAGTCAGAATACTGTTCAATTTTTGCAGAACTCGAATAAACGTGTCCATTCCTTCAGCAGAAAAAAGCTGAATAACAGCAAGATTCCATTTCAGATCTTTCTGTTGACCTTTATATAGGATAAGGAAAAGAAACAAAACTAATTACATATATGTTAATAACTGATTAAGAATTATTAAACTAAATATTTAATATTTATGATAAATGATTTTTATTACATTTATAATAAATGATTTTTATTATGATAAATATTTACTTATATTTAATTAAAATGATATTTATCATTATTAAATGATGTTTAATAATTATTAAACTAAATATTTAATAAATGATATTTATTCTAGGCTTAAGATTCATAGTTTTTAAAATACAGTAGCCACATTACCTTCAACAGGAGGTGGTGGGCATGCAACATTACAGAGAACACGTAAGGCAGTGGTAAGGCCAACTCCTTCTGGGGTCATCAAGTTATCAATATTCTTTAAAAATAAAAATGAACAGAATATTACATTTCTTAGTACCCATGAGATCAACAGAAAATTCCAGACAAGGAATTACTTAAAAATATGAGCTTCAAGTTAAGAACATACAATATTTTATATTTATTAAGTAAATTTAAAACATGAATAAGGCCCTAGAGTTAAATTATCAAGATTATTTGATCTCTGGCACATGTTGTACTATATGCAATATTATGTAAATAAAAAGAACTGTAATGCACAAGTTCATTGAAAAGAACCAACTAGAACAAAGATAACATAAAGAAATGTATGAAACTCCCTGTATTAAGAGTTTACAATGGCTACTTTCTATATACTCTTTTCATACATCTCTGCCAAAAATGAAGCAATAACTATATTTAAAAAGTCCTGTGGAGGCTGAGTGCAGTGGCTCACACCTGTAATCCCAGCACTCTGAGAGGTTGAGATGGAAGGATTGCTTGAGCCCAGGAGTTCGAGACCAGCCTGGGCAACACAGTGACACCCTGCCTCTACAAAATATTAAAAAATCATCCAGGGGTAGTGGTGCATGCCTATTGTCCCAGCTACTCAGGAGGCTGGGGTGGAAGGGATCACTTTAGCCTGGAAGGTCAAGAGTAGAGTAAACC